TATTTTGCGGTGATTGCTCGGTAAGTGTCATCAATTTTGCTGTTTATTGCACGGCTACTGGACCATGGTTATTGTTATTTGCAGTACATGAACTCGGTACAATAGCAGTAAAAAGTAACGATTTGAAATGCTTTTAAGGAGATTGAAACATTTCACAGGATCTGCTAAAAAAAAATCTTCCCACCATCCCGCAGTCCACACACACCAATTACCACCCTTGTAATGACACTGGTAAGTGGCCACTTTCGTGGTCTCGTCGTTTCAAGCTTCCCACACCCGGCCGGAACCGTAAAAGCGGGGGCCACACGTGTATCAATTACAAGGATAATTCCCAAAAACAGCCTGTCACACGCTTCTTTGCTCCGCGGGTGTGGTCAGTCCGGTTTTAATTAAATTTCCAAACCTTCCACACCGTGAAGCTCAAACACAAGAGAGACCATCCGCCGTCGAGGTTTCTGCCGCTGATTGATTTATCTCATGATCGATTCCGATTCACACAAAGAGGCCCACTGAGCAGGGGGAAAACTTTCAACTTACTTTGACCCCTTGTGTGTAGTTTTCGTTTCGGTCGAGCGCAAGGAGATGAGAAATGAAAGATTGATACAGTGCATTATGCTGCAGCAGCTGCTGACCGGTCCGATTGTGCGGATTGATTTGTAATCGACATTTTAATTACTTTCGAGTGTCCGAGCGAACGAGCTGCGGTCCCAGGAGACGATTAAGTTGTCACACGCGTCAAGGATTTCGGGCCCATAATTTTTGTCCACCCAGCCGGGGAACGTACGATGATGATGATGACAGTCACGTGCGAATTAGAAAAGATAAAGAGGTTCGAGATTTTGGGCGATAGGATGGCTAGGGGAGCGATTGACCGTGACCGTGAAATGGTCGGTGCTGGAAGTGAGTTAAATGTCACTGACTGTCAGTTAAAAACCTGAACTAACTTAATCACAGTTCGAGCAACTTCCCAGGGGATATCCGGAACACCTTCAGGTGTTGGCCAATGTGGTATTGGGTTCCTAATGTGAAAAGCAGCGAGCTTGTTTTAGAGTTATCATGTAGCTTTGTATGTCGCACGATGGGTTTTATTATTTAGTAAGCGTATTTCAGGGAAGTTCCAAGTGAACTTCAAGGAAATTCCGAGCAAACTTCATGGAAGCTCCGAGCTAAATTTAAGGAGTTTAAGGTGAATTCTGATACAGGTTAAGGTTTCTAGTGAGTTTCAGGAAAAATCCGAATATGCTTAAGGTAAATTATGATAGAACTTCTTCATTTGCATAGCTAATTTAATTTTTATGTTTATTGCTTTTTTTTAATTCCTACTTTTTTAATGTTCAAGACTAGAAAGACACAATGTCGAGAATTTATACTATATCGAAATTTAATCGATAGCATAATAAGACGTCTTCAGCCTCTATAAATTGGCCAAGAATTCAGGGATTTTTCTTTAACCTCAGGGAATTTGGTAAAACTTCAAAGACTTCTATGAAGTTCAGGGAAAAACGAAGAAATTAACGAAACTTTTTAGTAATTTCGGGAGCTTCATAGAGCTTCGGAAAAATCGCATAAACTTAGGGAGCTTTGGAAAAGTTCAGAATACGTCAGAGAAGTGGGAACTTTATTTAAATTTTGGGATCTTCGTAAAAGTTAAACATTATTTAATTTGAGGACACCTCAATATTGTTCGGGGGTCTTCATATAATTTCAGGAAACTTTGAAGCCTCATGAGCCTGGAATAGTTCAGTGAATTACGTACATGTTCAAGAAATTTCATATGTGGAACTTCGCGGAAAATCAACGAGAAGCGTAAAAATGCAGCAAATTTTGTAGAAGTTTTTAGAATTTCGTAGCATTTTAAGCAGCTGCAGGGATGTTTGACGTAGAACTACGTCTGTGATTTCTATATGGGGGTACACTTTATGAAAGCCGAAAATGGAACAAGTAACGAAATTATGAAAGATTTTGAACGTTAATAACTCAGCAATCACCAATCGACCAGAAATATGCAATGATTCCGACCGTTGATTTGCAACAAGAAACTATTGAAAAAGTGGAAAATTTCCACCAATTACGTACAAGCATATGCTGCTTCCCCAACACTGTCATCAGAGAGTCGTTACTAGATGAAACAAGTCGAAGTGGCATTCGCCTCCGATCTTCGTTGGTGCCCAAAAAAGTACTACTTCACCAACTCGTGCAAATCTCGATCTTCATGACACTCCTCCGTAGACGCACCACCCTAATCTTGTCTTAGTGTCTATTACGAATTACGAATCTTTAGCGGAGTAGACAAATAGAGATTTTCCAGGCCGATCAGTAGTTGCGGACGAGCTTCATCGTATCCATCAATAGGCAATCCTTTGAGGTACGGAGAACTATTCATTAGCTCACCCGGGTTGATCGACTGAACAGGAAGTTCTAAGTCTTCGACGGTACGTGCGTTGACCACATTGAAACGTCGTTTCTCCCTCTTTCCGGAAATATTCAGCTTCATCACGCAAGACTGATCCTCTACCCGGGACACGTTCCCAGTCCAGCGAAGATGCAAAGGATCTGGCGAACCCTTGAGACCCTGTTTGTCAGCCAAACTCTTCTCTATCATGGTAACCTCAGAAGCCTCGTGGAGTAACGCAAATATGTTGATGATACCAGAAGCACCGTGAACCGTAACAGGGAGAATGCGATATATTACGGTCTTACTGACGGTATGGAAGTTTTGGGGGCTAGCTGTTGATTTAGACTGTGAAGGGGAAGAGTGGAGCAAGGGATGGTGTTGGTCGCCGACAGGGATAAGGAAGGTGATTTATCATACAGGCTCTGCACAAGTTGTGCTGCCGCACCATCTTTCAACGTTTATCAGAATTCAATGCTTTGAACTTACCGCAACTATCCACTCCATGGCCTACTTTGCTGCAGATTGGACATACCTTTTCCGCTGGTGTTTGTTTCACCTGGTCATCATCTGACGCACGAGAATCGCTGTGGTGATTGACGAATCCTCGGTCCTTGGAATAACCACTTTTGTTCATTTCATCTTTCGATACCTTCGCCAATGGTCGATACTTTGTCACTTCGCTTGCTTTCCGCACAATATCCACCATAAACTGCCCAAAAGTATCCAGACTAACCCTCAGCACAGCGTCCTTGAAGTCAACCCACTTGAGCTTGATCTCCGACGGAAGCTTCCCAACAAGTTCATGCAGCAACGATGGATTTGATAAATGTGCTTCGAGATTCGCCACAACTAGGTGGTCGCAATAGTTCTGCACCGCCATCCCGTAAGCAATAAGTGTATCCAACCTTCCTTCCTTGGGTGACTGTGTATTTTGGATCTTGACCAAAAGTGAATTGATCAAAATCTCCGGTTTGCCAAAGAGCATTCTCAGAGTATCGATGGCACGTGGGACTGCAGCAGGAAGTAGAAGCCGACTCCGTACTGCTTCAAGTGCATCGCCTTTCAAGCAGCGCTGCTGGCGGATAAGGTTTTCAGCGTTGGAATACCCACATTCTGCAGTCGAGTTTTCATAATTGCTAATGAAAACTGGGTAAATCCTTTGGCAAAACCTGGCGGGCTGCCACATGCGAATCTGTCAGGCCGGATGTTCCACGATTGGGTTGAGCAGGAGCCCGTATTTGATGTGGGCGTGTTCCTACCCTTGGATTTGTTCCAGGATGATTTTCTTCGGGAACCCGGGATAGAACCGGTGGCCTCAATGGAATGTTGCGTGGAAGATCAGTTTGCCTCACTTCAGGACAATGAGAGATCTCTGGCCAGTCATACCAGATATGTGGAAGCTGTTCTCGTTCCACGGGGTTTCTGTCAGCAACAGATTCTTGATTGGCTTCCCTGCTCGCTTTTGGCTTTGTTCCGGTGTACCGTTCCTCACCGGATTTTCCCATCTGTAGGGGAACTGGAAGCACCTCGGGTGGGTTGGATTTCTTTTTTTCAAGGTTGTCCACCCATTCTGCTGCCTTTTGTTTGCGAGGAGCGTACAATGTGTTATACTTCTCTGTAAAACCCATCTGCTCCAACTTCTCCCGACAAACTTCACGACGTTTCTCCTCTTCCAGCCGCATCCTATACAGGTGTTCCCGTTCGGTGTTTTCTGCATTCTTCTCACGATCCTTTTTTTGACGATCTACTCTTCTCGTCTGCGTTTGCTCCATCACACAAACTGCCCCTACCAGCTGATCCCTCCAGTTGGGCGTTTAAAATCCGGTACTTTTCGGCGAGATACTGCTCCTCCAGCTTCCGAAGCAGATCTGAACGGGATTTCTCATCGTCCAGTTTCTTCTTTGCCAGTGTTTACTCCTGCTCCTGCTGCCGGCGATCGTTTTCCAGCCGTTTTCGTTCCAGTTCCGCCTCCTTTTCGCGTTGCAACCTTTCTTGATCCTACTGACGACGATCTTCTGCCAAGCGACGGCGTTCGAGTTCTGCCTCCTTCTCACGTTACATCTTCTCCTGCTCAATGAGAGCTTTCTCCAACTCTGCTTCTTGCTTCCGAGGCTCTTCCTCCTCGAGAACTCGCTTTAACTCCAATCGCTTCCGAGCCTCCAACTACTGCAATTCCAAAGCAGCTCTAGCTGCCCGGGCTGATGCAGTGGTGATTACCGTGACTGACGACCGCCGTGAGGAAACAGTCTTCTTTGGTTTACCAACAGGTGTACTGAAATACAATAATTTTAAAGAATACAATTCAATCACTTTATAGGTTGCAAATAACTGTTCATCTTTTTCCTATTGATTAAATCTTCAACGATTGACAGTTACGTTGACGGCTGCAGCGATGACAAGCGGTGGTAGGGCTACCAGCATCTTTGCTCGTCCGTCCGTTACGAGTTCAAGGGGACTGCAGATGGATCGTAGCAGTGCCAACACGAAGCTTTAACGCCCAATAATGTTCTGCTTCTCAGCTCTACAGGAGTAGTTCAACCAGCTATCAAACCCGGTAGATGAACGTGGAGCACTCCGCTCCAATTGGAAAGCTATTCAGGATATGCTAGATCGTTACTGGGCACGGTGGATCAAAGAATATCTTCCGGTGCTGTCTCCTCAATCCAAGTGGTTCGGGGAAGTACGAGCTATCCAGGTTGGTGATCTGGTAATGATAGCTAGCGAGAATGAAAGGAATAGCTGGACGCGAGGGCGAATACGGTGAGTGTATCCAGGGAGAGATGGACGAATCAGGCGAGTCGATGTGCAAACGGCGGCAGGAATACACCAACGGCCAGTGTCTAAGTAAGCTGTACTGAACTTCACTGAAGATTCTGGTATAGCTGGAAGAAATGGAAAGTGAGTTCAGTACCACCCGTATAGGTACTCGAACGACATAAACTCGAGAGAATTTCAGAGGCAGAAAAAACTCCCACCATATATATACGCTATCTAGCTCACCCAAAACAATACATAGTGACAGAATAAACACGTTTAAAGTTGAATTGCTTACGCTAGGTTTAGATTTCTTATCATATTGAATACATTAAAATCGTAAGTAAAACTAATTAAAATGAAATCTATTGTAGATAAAATGCTACAATCTACAGCACAACACAATTCTCACCCACCCAGATAAAATGCTACAATCTACAGCACAACACAATTCTCACCCACGGTACTGGTTGATCCCAGTCCAACCGATTGCCGGTCTCGTCTTGCAACGTCCAAAGCTGCTGCATGAAGATCTTGGCAGACGAAGTCGTGGCACCAATCAATCCAAGCGGATCGAACAGCGTTGCGATTAGTGACAATATTCGACGCTTCGTCAACGGGACACCAGGTTCTATCGGAGGAACTGTGAACTGGAATCGAAGGGTATCGGTAATAGGCATCCACGTTAGTCCTAACGTTTTGACGGATTGATCAGGTTGATTCCTTTAGGGTCTCGAAGAGCCAGGTTTTCTTTGGGTACGCCTTCCAGAACTTCGGGAACATTGCAAGCCCACTTTCGGAGCTTGAAACCACCACACAGCATCATCTCGGTCAACTGGTTTCTGAGACTGATAGCTGCATCCACCTCGTCCGTACCGGTGATGACGTCATCCATATAGACGTCCTCACAAATTGCTCTTGCCGCGAGCGAAAATCGGTCTTCTTCGTCAGCAGCCAGCTGTCGGAGAGTTCGTGTTGCCAGGAATGGTGCGGGTTTGGTTCCATACGTAACGGTGTTCAGTTCGTACACTGCGACTTCCTCGTCCGGAGAAAAGCGAAATAATACGGACTGGAGTGGTCGATCCTTGAGCCACGTAAGGATTTGTCGGAACATCTTCTCGACGTCCGATACGAGGAGAATCTGCTTCATCCGACTGCGTAGGATAATTGACCTCAAATCTTCCTGCACAACTGGCCCTACCAGAAGCACATCGTTTAAGGACAATCCGGATGACGTTTTACACGAGGCGTCGAAGACTACTCTGACCTTGGTGATGGTACTCGCCTCCTTGACCACCGGGTGATGGGGAAGATAAAACCGTTTGACCGGTCCCTCCGTAGTTTCTTCGACCTTGCGCATGTGTCCCAGTTTCAGGTACTCGTTCATGAATCCGATGTATTGTTCCCGTAAGTTGGTGTCCTTTGCCAATCTCCGTTCCGTTCCGAGAAGACGTCGGAATGCTATGTCCCGTGACTCGCCCAGATTTGGAAGAACGTCTTCGTTTTTGGGTAGGGGAACAGTATAACGACCTTCTGGACCTCTTTGAACTCCACGTTGAAATAATTCTTCACACCTTTTCTCCTCCAGAGAATAAGCGTCCGTGAATTCCACCTCCTCGCACGACCAGAAACGTGCCATCAACCTTTCCAAGTCCTCGGACTTGTAGGGAATTGATAGGAGTTGAACAGCCACCACATACTACCCAACCGAATACCGAGTCTGTAAGGCTTGGTAGATGTTTGCCGATTGTAATTCTTCGCCCCGATTCGAAGAATTCGAAGAAAGCCTCGATGCCTAGCACCATGTCGACTTCCTTGGACGTGAAGAATGCAGGATCCGCTAGCTCAATTCCATTCGGTAGAATCCACCATTCCGTGTTGATTGAGGTTGTAGGGAGATTCGCAGTCACCTTGGGTAGCACCAAAAACCTCATATCTCGCGAGAAATCCGAGATTCGCGAACGTATGACCGCTTGGACTGTATGTTTGACCTTGGTAGCCCCTTGTCCTATACCAAGAACCGAGACGTCGACCTTATTCCTGATTACCTTCATCCTTTGGGTTAACCGTTCCGATACGAAGTTGCTCTCTGAACCGGAATCAAGAAGAGCACGGGCGTGGTACCTTGAACCAACGTCGTCCTCGACGATGACTACCGCTGTCGCTAAAAGGACTTGCGACGTGAGTTGATTAGACGTACCGCATACCGAAACGTCAGTGGCTGCCACGTTAGCCAGTTGGATTGAATTGGAACCTGAGGAGCCTTGGGATTCCTTGGAATTTGAAGGATGATTGCCCCCAGCAATCGCTGCGACCGTTACAGTGTGATCTTTCTCCGACTTGAAGCAAACCAGGGTGTGATGACGGTTCTTGCAGATCCGATAGGAAAATTTGGATTGGCAATCCTTTGCCTGATGCCCCGATCGAAAGCAATTCCGGCAAAGTCCCTGAGATTTCAGTAGAGAATCCCGATCCGCCACAGAAAGTCTTTGAAATGCCGAACATTTTAATAGAAGGTGGTTGTCCTTACACGGTTTCGGTGGTGGTTGTTGCTGATGGACGATCTTGTTGTCCGTCTGCATAGATGGAAGGGATTCCAGTACTTCTCCTTGTTGGCCGAATATTCTTCCCATGCTCGACGAGTTGATGGATCCAGTCGCATCGTGAGCAGATTCACCAACAGGAGATCCTTGTACTCAGCAGGTTCCACGTTTTGATCAAGTGTTTGGACAACTCGGTCAAAACCTTCCACCAGATTTTGTAACTCAGCAACAGATTCCTTGGAGAGGGTCGGAAGTTTGAAGAAAGATTGGACCTGCTTCTTCTTCAACAGCTTGTTGTTGTAGTACCTCTTTACCAGGGTATCCCAAGCTATCTGGTAATTCGCCTTGGTAATTTTCAGTGGATCGATTAGGCTTTAAGGTTCACCTTGAAGAAACCCTTTCAAATAATGAAATTTCTACACCTCTGGTAAATCAGTCCTCCAGTGGATGAGCGAGGTGAACAGGTCTCGGAAGCTCAACCAGTCATCGATGTCACCGTTGAATGATTGGAGTTTGATCTGCGGTAACCGGACATGACCGACAACACCTGACATTGATTGTTCATGGGCGTACTGTTCCAACTCAGGAGAAACGCGAAGGGCCTTGCTTTTGTCCAACAGGAAGGTTTTGGCTTCATAATAGCGATCGCTCAAGTGCTTGCGTAACTTACTATAATAATTCTCCTCATCCTCGAAGTCTTCATGAGATTTTAGCTCGACCAAATTCTCACTAAATCTCTCCCACAAATCATCGATCCGTTCTAATCGAATTTCGACTTGAGTACCGGTGGTTTCATCAGAAAACTTCTGAATGAAAGACCAAATGTCATCGAACGAGGATTTCAAATCGTCCAATTGAACCCTCAGTTGCTTCAGGGATGACAATCCTTTCCGGGTGGTGGGTGGCATTTTGATGTGATGTCGAACAATCGGTAAAGAAATTGGAAGTGTAGTATTCCGCGTGTAGTCTCCGCTTCGGCGGACATATACTGCTCGCTATTACTGACCTGGCAGAACAGGTAACTGTTCTGAATCCAAATTCTAACCAAAGTAGCAAAAGGTCCGATGACGTCACATCAATCTTGCCTCGGTAGGGATCATTCAATTTTAGGTTGAAGTTCACAGAAGAGAAGAATTTAGGGTGTAATATCCAGATAAACCTAAGCCTCGGCTGGGCATATAATGTGGCAACCTACCTGGAGGTACCAACAGCAGTACCAATCCAAAGTTATCAAATTTCCACACCAAATTGGTATAAATGTTGCCTTGATCGCGGACAATGTGAACTCCAGAACGTGTGTGTATGCAGGATGCAGTGCGAAGAGGAATAATGGCTATGTATCAATCGTAGGACATATACCGTGCAACTAACCTGGAGGACTAACAGCTTCACCAACCAGAACGAAAAACCAGTCGAGCATGCAAATTGGGGTTTATCAGCAGACTTGCTCTAACGAACAATTCAATTGCAGGGCTTGCGTGGTGGTAATTGAAGAGGATGTACGGGAATTTCAATTAAAATCGTGTATTTCTGTATGCCTAGCTCGGCAGTGACATATACAATAAAGTTCACTCACCGGGAAGGGAGTAAATGGCCGCTCCCTCTTCTGCCACCGTCCACAGCAATCGTCCTTCAGAAAGTGAAATTCTGGGCCAACGGCTTATGTGGATGCACAACCGTTCCTTCACTGAATCGTCCGTGGTGAGAAGTTGAACGCTGTCCTCAGTCATCGGTACCACAAGATGCTCCGTTCCATGCAACGAATACAAAGGCATGCGTCGAAAGGTTGGCGTTAGTACATGGTAAGTCAATGCCTCGGCTAGACATACACCGAACTTATAAATAATCACCTGGACAAAGCAGATATTTCTGCTAATTCGGTGCTCCAGCGAAGCAAGGTATGATCAGGGGTTTTTCCAATCGAAAATGCTCTGCATGCACGAAAATCCTCACAGCATCCACAGGTATTCGCTATCCGATGCAGTTTCAAATTCCACAATGGGTCCGGTCACCGGTGACCGAAACCAACTAACTCCCGTCTCTCGATCTGGTCATCGCTTGACCTATGGTCGCCTAGCCCAAATCTCCCTCTCGCGCTGTACAGAAGTCTACAAACGATCGGCGACTATCAGTAATTCACTCTCTCGGGTCCTGCTATTATCGATCCCAGATGATGACGATCGCCGCAATTCCCTACCTCGTATGGACATCTCATCTGGCGCTCTCTCGACCGATCGTAGGTAATGGTGATGCTGTAGAATAGCCGTGGTTTGTTTCCTCGTTCTCAGTATTGTTTCCCTCAGATATGCAGCAGAACAGGGTTGTAGTTTCTGGGTGGTTCAGTCCCAAACAATCGACAATTGGTTAAACTTATATGATCATGATTTCAATCTCTAGCTTTCAATCGTTGGTCCACTCGTCTGCTGATCTCTCAAACATATAGAAATTTTATTATTTGCGATTATCCCTAGCTGGAGATGCCCTAAAACTCATTCAAACAATCCAGAGCAGTGCAAATAAGTATATGGTTGCTTGGAAGCTGCTCGAAGATCATTATCAAAACCCCGTGCGTTTAAAGCAGACTTACGTGGACGCACTGTTCGAATTTTTCACCATACAGCGGGAGTCGGCAGCAGAACTCCACTCACTAGTGGATAAATTTGAATCTGATGTGAAAGTGCTTCAACAACTCGGAGAACAAACTCAGTGCTGGGATCTCTTACTCGTTCGGATGCTCAGCACTTGCCTAGATCCCACAACCCGGAGCGACTGGGAAGAGTACGCGTCTACTCAGAATGTAGTTTCATTCCAAGCTCTCACCACCTTCATCCATCGCCAATCGGAGTGACGACTCGTTCGCTGAAGCGGTCGGCCGGAAGCCGCGTGGGTAGCGTTGTTCGACTGCGGGATCGCTACAGTTCGATCGACGGCCTATTGCTATCGGCCGGGGGCCACAGCGTGCTCTTCGGTGTGCTACGAAGTCACGGCGGTACGATCAACTGTTGTCGCTATTGGCCGGGGGCCACGGTGTAGGCGAATACGGAATAAAAGAATACTGCGGTTGTGCGATCGGCGACTCTTCACGGCGGTGTGAGTCGAGCCTCTCGCGGATCCCGTTAGCTACCCGTGCCGACGAGTGGTGCCGACAAAGGTTCGGAAACGTAGGCGGCGGAGCGTGAAACGATCACGGTTTACTAGCGGTCGAGGGCCGCGGCGTGGCTTGCGTAGTGCTGCAGAAAGCAGAGAGCACTTCTTCGGTGGGTGACCACCGAACGACGGAAAGCACTAGAGGGCGTGGTCCGAAAACGCACTGGACACCGAGATACTCTGGTGTAAGATGGCTGCTGTGTGCTTGTGTACTCGACCACGAGGTGGAACGTCGATGACGCCGATAGTTTTCGGTGCCCACCGAGAACCTTCTTTCGAAAGATTGACCTTCGAAACGTTATTAACCTAATTAATTTCTTGCCACACACTTCACTGAATTAACTAATTACCTGGTATGATTCACCGAATCGATAATCTCGGTGATACACTAGCACTATAAATTTAACTATTTGTCTGATGGTGATATCTATCACCCAAAACACTGCATTAGAATTTTTATTATTTAATTAGATTAGAAAATCACTTACTTTTCAAAGTACCGATCTCCCACACTTGACAGTGCCTTAGCACTCACTGCTCGGTAACTTTATAATTTTTCGCTCTGAATAAATTTACGGTTTAGCTTTAAATCTTCCTAACTGTCTAGCTCGATAGCCAACTTGCAGATGATCTCACCACGCGCAGAGTCGTGTTTATATCCCCTCTGCATTTTACACGCGGTTGATTCTGATTGGCTGCTTTTGTTGCATAATCTTTTCTTATCAATCTGTAGATTGCATGGTATGAGAGGGAGACAGCTGATGTCTCAATACATCAAGAACACGAACGCTTCGCGATGGGTTTGGTTGTTGTCCGCGCTAGAAATATCGATAATGGGGTGTTACGAATGATCGTAACGCCAATATCAATCTAGCCTCATTATGAAGCGTCTCCGCTATGCTGTCAGTCTGATGATAGCTAGCGGAGGCGTTACAACGTGTAAATGTACTCCGAACCATACAGGTCAAGACCATCGAGAATCCAACCGTCACCACTGTGAAAAAGCCAACCACTCGTCCATTTGCTAGTCATGGTGCAGCTCAACTCAACGCTCGAAAGTGCCTAATGTGCAGTGATCACCATCCCTTATACATGTGCTCATCATTTTCGAACCTGAGCGTGGAGGAGCAAGAGAAAGAAGTACGACGTCACCAGCTTTGCCGCAACTGTCTGCGGAAGGGACACGTAGCGAAGGATTGTTCTTCACCCAGTTCCTGTCGGAAATGCCGCAGCCGTCATCATACCCAACTCTGCGCCAACGATGGTTCAAATTCAGGAAAACCGAAACCAGAGTCATCAACCGTCAACCACTCTGCTTTAACAAATCAGCAGTCCAACCCCACCGGCTCAGCAACATCCATCGATCCAACCAGCTACGCTTTAGCAGGACAGAGCAGTAAAAGGGTTCTGCTAGCCACAGCAGTAGTCATCTTGGTCGACGATACCGGAGTTCAACACGCTGCACGAGCACTTTTGGATTCGGGTAACGAGTGTTGTTCGGTTCGGAGAAAGAAAATCTCCCTACCAATTGCTGGAATGGGTCGGTCATCACTCACTCAAGCTCGACAAAAATTCATTTCCACCATTCGTTCTTGCACCTCCGATTTCGTCGCTACTGTAGAATTTCTCGCTCTTCCAAGACTCACCGTTGATTTACCGTCCACGTCGATCGACATAACGTCGTGGGAAATTCCTCCGGAACTGCAGCTCGCTGATCCAGCATTCTATCAAGCCAATCCTGTCGACCTCATTTTGGGTGCTAAAGTGTTTTTCGACATATTCAAATCGTCGGACAGAACAACTAGGCGAATCTCTGCCCGTTCTCGTGAATTCAACTTTCGTCTGGGTAATATGAGGGTGATCTGCGCATTGTCATCCAATCGCGCCTGTCATATCCAACGTAGCAACCATGTCAAACCTACCTGTAATGATGGAAAGATTTTGGTCATTGGAAGAAGATGAATCCACACCTTGCTACTTCGTTGAAGAAGCTGCTTGTGAACGGCATTTTCAGCAAACCGTCTCTCGCAATTCCGAAGGGCGCTATATCGTTCGCCTTCCACTGAAGGAGGATATATTGGTTAACATGAGTGACAACCGCAATACAGCAATCAGGCGTTTCCATCTGCTAGAACGACGACTGACTCGTGACGACGGCCTGTTCTTTTGGTAACTTGATTTTTTTCTATATTGAAAAGAAATTGTTCGAATATGTTTCAGCCATATTTAAAGTGTAATATTCATGTAGGGTAGAAGCATTATTATTCGCCACTGTGTTAATTTTCGCCGTGTTCCCTTTACTCCTCTAAACTTCTGTAAAGTATCACTTAAAAAAAAATCAATTATCGAACACCCGAATTTTGATTTTTGGCCATCTCGCGAAGATTTTTTCTAAATACACCTGACAAAGTAGGGATTGCTCTCACGGCAACAAGTGCGGTTAGTTTTTGCCTGCAGTGCTCTACAGCGTATCGCGGCTGACTGAGACTGAGAGAAACCAAAGCCTGCTTTATCAATCTCTGAGAAGTTAAGCTATTGAGATGCGAGAGCGCAACATCCCGCCGAAGAGTCACTAAAATGCGAAATAAGCCGTTCTCAGCCAGTATGTCTTAAACATGTGGCTTGCTAAATATGATTGACAACTGGATTGATAGATAACGTAACGCAATCCAGATGAACCAAAACGACTTTGGTGGTGAACCATCCTATATGTAGTGAATCTGTGCTGTAGAATAAAGGAACCAAAACAAAACAAAATTCAACCCTACATTGTTGACGGTGGAGCTTAGCAACATTGCAGAGCAGCGGAGATTTTGGAGCGAGAGAGGCAAAGTATTGCGCTCACTTTTTCAGGAAGAGAATGTATACTGGTTTTCCTTAGCCAACCAACATCTACTTCATTCTCCATCAGTTCGCTGAGCGTCGTGGAATCGTGCCTGGCTTGAGCCGGTACCCGGAACCAACAGAACAGATCAATTAGCAAATCGGGGGTTTTTTGTGCGGCTGTGTGAGATGGATTCAGCGCAAGAAAAGGCAGACGGTAAGGGTATTTTGATTCGAAGATTTGTACCTATTCTTATTTTAAATCTACGTTTTAAAACAATTGACAGCTCCGGAATGCGTTGCGGAAAATAATACATTCGGAAAGCACCGCAAAAATGGCCGGATTACAACGCTCATGGACTCGATTCGGGAAAAACAGGTTTGTTTTTGGTCTGAAAAGCGGAAGGTATCACAGCAAAAAAAAATACTGATGCTCTTCAACCTTGTTGAAAATGTAGTGTTCTTCTTCACGAATGTAAAAATTTGGCATTCGGGGAGCGAATGTATTGCAATTAGATGGAATTGGTTGCGTACATAAATTCGTATATTGCAGCGTTCTAGGATATTGCGATGAATAAGTGCGAAAAACTAACGCAATTGTTCGGTACTTCAAGAAGACGCCTAAGTGATGTGATCATATTTGTGAAGACAAAGATAAGACACCCTCTGCCTTCGCAATACTGGCTTAGTAATTGTGACGCAGTTTTTACTAACTCGGTTAGTTGTGAAAAGAAGTGGACTTGAAATTGCAGCCCATGAGCACAACAACAAAAAACAAAACGAAACTCACGATATGTCTGGAATCGTCATACTTGGGCTTATCATTACAGTTGAATTGAAAGTGTATAAATTTTATAGTGAAGTGGCATTCGTTCCGCATGAATCACGTACGCAAGAAGTTATCAAAATGTGTGCACTATTAAATTGCAAGTTAGCTCCAGCTAAATTCTAGAGCTAAATGCTATGCCTAATTTAAGATTTGGCAACTGCTGCTTCAACAATGGCAGTCAGTATGCATAAGGGCGTAACTGCGATGATCGATTCTGTTCCTCGATTTTCTCTTTAAATTCTTGAGTATACGCATATTTCCAGGCACAGTAGAACTTTAATTGACCACGTTTATTCCAATTTTTATTCCATTTGTTCAGTTACGGATACTGATTTGAAAATAACCGATCATGAGACCTTAGTGATTAATGTCTTAGACCATGTTAACGATAACGATAATATTTGTAAAATTGAAGTGCTGGAGGAAATATTCGAAGCAAGTTGTTTCGAATCTTGTTGAGAGGAGCGTGGATTTTCCATTCGCGGCCGGTAACTTAGATGAATCTACAGCTGTTCTTAATAACGCTTTGAAAACGTGTACCAATCAACTAGCAGAGAAAAAATTTGTTTCTTTGAAAAACTCGAACAGCTGGTACAAATTGGATCTTTTGTCAATCCATTGAATTGGTTGATGAACCTGATGAAATAAAATAGCTAGTTAATAGTAGTTGTAGATTTGAAGGTTTTCATCCAATTACATTAGATGAACTTAGAGTTATTTGTTTTTCATTAGGAAAATCGGCTGGAGTTGACAATGTCAATGCTAGAGTTATTCAAGATTGCTTATTGCGTGTCATTGGCCACATCTTGCTGGACCTTATTAATGGATCATTTCAAACTGGACATATGTCACAAATTTGGAAGAAATCCTTAGTGGTTCCTATTCAAAAAGTTGCTGAAACGATTAAAGCCGAAGAGTTTCGTCCCATCAACATGTTGCACACAATTGAGAAAATTTTAGAACTTGTTGTTAAAGGCCAGCTGTTGGAGTATTTAAATAGTAATAGTTTGTTGATACCAGAACAATCAAGATATCGGGAAGGTCATTCTTGTGAAACCGCGTTGAATTTGGTATTCGCGAAGTGGAAAAATAACTTCGAATGTAAAGATACGATTGTTGCTGTTTTTTTTTTTTGATCTTAAACGCGCTTTTGAAACAAATTCTAGGCCCTTATTGTAAATGGTTTGAAAGCTATTTGTCTGACAGAACTCAACGGACTGTTTTTAATGATTCTGTTTCCAGTCCCGTGGGGAATAACCTTGGAGTGCCCCAGGGAAGTGTATTAGGGCCCCTGTTATTTATTATGCATATTAATGACTTGCGACGTGTTTTACGATTTTGCGACATTAATCTTTTTGCAGATGATACTGTGTTATTCATTGCAGCTAAGGATTTAGAAGTTGCCGTCTCACACTTGAATGAAGATTTGCAGTATCTAAGTAGATGGTTGAAGTGTAAGCAGTTAAAATTGAATACAAGTAAAACTAAATTTATGGTGATTTCGCGGAATCGATTAAATGAGAACGTCTCTGTTGTAATTGATGATGAGACTATTGATCGCGTTCAGGAGATTAAATATCTTGGCGTGATTATTGATGACAAACTTAATTTCAACTCTCACATTGACAATGTCATCAAGAAAATTGCCAAGAAGTATGGAATTATATGTCGATTGAAAAACGATTTAACTATTGCCAGTAAAATACAGCTATACAAATCAATCATCTCTCATACCCTAGACTTTTGCCCTTCCATTTTATTTCTGGCCAATGCAACATAAATATCGAGATTACAGCGCTTGCAGAGTAAAATAATGCGTTTGATTTTGAGATGTAATCGATTCACTTCCTTAACATTGCTTTGCTTGCTTGCGGTTGAATGCTTGCAACCTTGCGGCTGAGGTAGCCTCAGGAGTACGGATCGAGAGTTTGGGATGACGCTTCCGAAAACCGTGAAGCCAATCTCAACCAGCCAGCTGTGTCTTCGTTTTGAAAACATGTGCTTTCCCGTTGCGTTCGGCCAGCTGGAAGGCAAGGCTCCGGATCTCGCGGGTGGTAATTCCGTAGCATCGAACTTTGAAGTCCAAAATGTGGGCCATTAAAACAGCTTCCTCGGCAGGTATGAAAACTGTTTTGAATGAGCCGATTTGCTTCACCTCCTGGCCCAGTACTTCTGCAGTTTTCAGATAGCGGATCAGCGTAGGTCTTGGAATTCCATGGTCCTTGGCTGCTCGTTTGATGGACGTTCCACTCCGGCGGACAGAATCTATGGCCGCTTCCATGGCCGTTTTGGACCACTGCTGCCTTCCCGATTGTCTTTTGTACGTTCGCACCATCACTGCCACCAAAACACTGCGTAGGTAAACAATGTAAACAAGTCAACAAAGTGGGCGTTGAGGTTAGATTCCAGAAACAAGTGGTGTTCATTTTTCCCCTACTAGAGGTGTTCGTTTCGCCCCTAATCGACTATATAAATTTGAATGCATTTTTTTTTTAAATAAATTATTGCAAAAAACAATATTGTGATTAATGTCAACTTTCAGCAGCGATACAAAAAACGTGTTTGGGACAAATAGGTAATTGATAATAAATATTCTGAAACGTTCGTAAAACCTTATTTTGCTCTGGTTAGAAATTATAATATTTCAAACCCTTGGGTTATGATTTCGCATTTTTCATATATTTCGGTAGCCGGCGCCGGTGGTGTAGTGGTAAGTGTGACTGCTTTCTAACACCCCAATGGGTCTGGGTTCAATCCCAGCCGAGGTCGGTGGGATTTTTCTGAGGCATAAAAATCTCTGGTCACGTCTTCCTTCGGAAGGGAAGTAAAGCCGTTGGTTCCGGCCCATGTGTGTTGTGAATGGGTGCAATATCCTACGCAGGTGTGGAAGCTGCCGTCCTGCACATTCGGTTGCCGGCAATCGATGGCAATCGATGTCCGTCGGTGATTGGCTCTAGATTGCGGAACAGAGACCGACGTTAAATAAAGGAAAAAGAAAAGAAATATATTTCGGCGGTTAAAAGAGGATATCAACTGTTCTATTGAAAAGTGATATGTTTGATAGTGGTAAAAATGATTAACAACTTACATTTCCGTTTAAATTTAAAAGATTTTGTTATTTTGAGGGTGTCAATTTCGCCCCGTGTGTTCATTATGCCCCTAATCCTCCTAATAAGTTTTGACGTAGGACTACGTCTTTGATTTCTATATGGGGGTACACTTTGTGAAAACCGAAAATGGAACATGTAACAAATTAAGAAAGATTTTGAACGTTAATAACTCAGCTGCCCCTGGTCCAATTTCAATAATTTTATCACCAATCGATCAGAAATATGGCTACGCATTGATAACAATGCTTTCGAATGTTGATTTTCAACAATAAACTATTGAAAAACTGGTAAATGTCCAGCATTGCCCAAAAGCGTCGAATTAACTAACAAATCCACCAATTACCTACATGCATATGCTGCTTCCCCAACACAGTCGTCAGAGAGAAGTAAGTAGACGAAACAAGTCGAAGTGGCATTTGCCTTAGATCCTCGGGCGCGTGTGAATAGGGAGGATGGAATTGCGTAATATGTTGCACACTCATCGCCATATTCAGAACCAAACGAAAATTCTTCAAGATAACCACCATCCGTTGTCTGGCTCGCCGTGGCGGTATCTGACGTATCTCCGGTTTGATTTACGAGGTGTGCTGAAGGTGTTCCTGAAAAATGAGATCCGTGATGCTGTCACCTACACTAAACACGCCAAGCGTAAGCGGCCATGGATGTCATCTACGTTTTTGAAGTGACAGAGACGCACTCTGTTTGGTTTCGGAGGTTAAATCATCACCAACATTGGAAACAAAACGGCTCTTTTCAGGGCCACCAAGCTTATTACCGTAAAGAGTAGGAATAGAATTCATCTGCCTGTTTGTCCATATTCAGAACCACCGACCACACAAAATGCTCATGTAATCAAACTGGAAGCAGGGATACAAATTATTTTGATCAACCTTGATCAACTTTGAATCGCCATATTTTAGATGGAAGGGGCAACAATCTAGCATCTAATTCGACGAATACGGCAGGAAACATTTCTGGATCAACAATAGAATAGGGCCCATCAGCATTTGTAAACAAACCATTCCAAAGTCTCACAAATCGAAGGCCGCTCACACAAACCAACACCAACATCTTGTAGGTAGAAGTTTTCCCTATCCAATGATGGTGTTGGTTTGTGTGGGTGGCCTTCGCTTTGTGAGTAAAGGGCTTTGGAACGGTTTGTTTACAAATGCTGATGGGCTCTTTTCTATTGTTGATCCAGATTTGTGAAGCCGAGTTATTTACGAGTGTCGATGAAGAGAATCGATCAATGTAGATAGGACCTATTGAAAAGTGACGCGAGATTTGTTTTCCGTACTGAGCTCCAATGCTACCGACGAGGCAGCTCCCAGAGATGTTATGCCTTAGAACATGCCGGTGGTGCCGACTGAGATTGGACCCAGGCCTGCTGGGGTGAGAGGTAATCATGCTAACCACCGGCGCCGATATCTATCACGGTGA